TTAATAACGAAATTGTGTGAGAACAAGGATAAATTTATTTAGTAATAATTCCACGTTGCGTCGCAGGTAAAAAGAAAAGAAGACACTGAACTCTAAAGATATAGAAGACCATACGACGAACTGACGCGACATCTGTTGTGTTATGATCGTATCAAATATGAAAAGGTAGTTTATACTTTAACACTTCCCCGTAAACTGACATGAATATTAAAAATTATCTTGACGAATGCAAAAGGTCATTCACAAAGTCCTATTTTGGAGCACAGGGATTTGAACTTCACCGAATTCAGAGGTTTTGTAAACATGTCTCCCAGCTGATCCTCTGAGCGCACATGTTCCACATCGATGTCACCTTCCTGGTAACGTTCTCGAACAAAGTAGTAGCGCACCGCTATGTGTTTCGACCTTTTGTGAAACTCAGGGTTCTTCACCAACTTAATCGCACTGGCGTTGTCGATAAACAGGGTCGGTGTTTCCTCTCTGTCACCGATTTCAGACAACAATCTCGTGAGCCACACTAGCTCTTTGGCACCTTCACTGGCGGCAACAAACTCAGCTTCAGTCGTAGAAAGGGCAACGGATTTCTGCAGTTGAGAAGTCCACGAAACAGCTGTGCCATTGAGGACAGTCACGAATCCATTAGTAGATCGTCGAGTGTTGACATCTCCTGCAAAATCTGCGTCTGAATAACCACGCAGCCTATCAGTAGTTGAAGTGTAGAGTAGACCAAGACCAGAAGTGCCACGTAGGTATCTGAGTATCCTTTTGACGTGGGCCCAGTCAGATGCATTAGGGTTGGTCATAGATCGAGCAACTCTAGACACAGCGTACGCTATATCTGGACGAGTTGCGCAGGCCAAGTATAGCAGCGATCCCACCACTGATCGATATTGATTGGGGCTTTCAAGAGCGGCGTTAGACGACGAATCAGGTTGTTGACTTTCCGCAGGTGTTTTGACTGATTTACAATCTATCATGCCGAAACGTTGCAAAATTCTTTCGACGTAGGCTCGCTGCGACAAGAAGAAACCAGAATCGTGCCGCTCGATTTGCATGCCCAGGAACGAATCAAGCGATCCCACTGTGATCTTGAATTCTGAAGTTAGCAATTCTAGAAACGAATCGACTGTAGTCTGCGATGATCCCGCTATAAGACCGTCGTCGACATAAATTGCGACCATCAGTTTTTCTCCTTCTTTCAGTCGGACGTAAATGCATGGATCAGCAGTCGACCGCAAAAATCCGCTCTTTCTCATGAATGAGTGAAACTTATTGTTCCAACACCGGGGAGACTGCTTGAGTCCATATAGAGACTTCTTCAGGCGGCAGACACGACCAGTCCCGTCATCGAAACCTTGTGGTTGAGTCATGTAAATTTCTGCATCAATTTTTCCATACAAGAACGCAGTTCTGACGTCGAATTGACCCAGCGCAAACTTCTCTTCAGCTGCGATTGCAATAAATGCTCGAATTGAGTCGTAACGAGCAACCGGGCTGAAAGTCTCGTCGTAGTCGAGTCCCGCACGTTGAAAAATGCCGCGAACAACCAAACGAGCGCGGTACCGATCAACTGAACCGTCAGATTTGTGTTTCACCCGCAGAACCCAACGATTGTCGATAGCGCGCTTTCCTGGTGGCAATTTTACCAAGTTCCAGGTATCATTTTCTTTGAGGGCATCCATCTCGTCGTTCATTGCGCGCACCCACTTATCTGAATGTCGACTTTTCATAGCTTCATTGAAGTTTGTTGGCTCCAAATCATCGTGAACAGCTTCTGTTGAACATGTCAAGGCAACATTTGCCTCAAAGCGACAAGTCCGATGACCCACTTGGTAGTCTCCTAACCTTACAGGTGGACGAATTGTACGAGCTGGGCGTCGTGGTGGAGCCTGGACAAGAGCCGGCTCCTCTGCAGAAATGCTTTCATCCTTGTCACTATCAGGCATGTCATCTGCGTCCTGAAAATCACTGGTTGATTCTCTCTCGTCATCTGAATCTCCATGGTCGATGTCATCGTCATCATCTTGATAGGCCTGATTGTCATGATGAGTTTTAAATTCAAGGTCGACTGTTTTGTTTGTTGTACAAAGTTTTTCTGGACGAAAATCGACGTCACGCGACTTCACAATGCGATGCTTTGACGGTACCCATACCTTGTAACCATCTTTGTCGTTGACGTAGCCGACGAAGTGACCCAGGATAGCTTTAGGGTCAAATTTTGATCGGAACTGTTTTGGCATGTTCACGTAGCACTCTGAGCCAAAAATTCGCAAATGATCAAAACTGTCAAATTTCCTGCCTGTCCACAACTCGAACGGCGTTTTCCCTGGAACACGCGACTTGCCTGTGCGGTTGATCAAGAATGTAGCCGTGTCGCAGGCATGAGCCCAAAACGATTTTGACAGTCCACTGACAGTCAACATCGAACGTGCCAGTTCAACAACATGACGATTCGACTGTTCCGCAACACCGTTCTGCTCAGGTGTGTACGGACACGATGGTCGAAACTCGATGCCGCGTTCGCACAACAGTTTCAGTACACCCTGACACTCGAATTCAGTACCGCAGTCCGAACGAAAGGCTTTTACTTTATGTCCTGCAGTTTCGCATTCGTTCAGAAAAGTTTTCAAGTGTTCAGTCACTTCCGATTTGTGTTTCATAAAGAATACACGAACGAACTGGGAAAAGTCATCTTTGAAGGCCACATAGAACCGGAAACCGTTGATCGATTCGATTGTCATTGGACCGTTTACGTCTGCGTTGATTAGCTCACCTACGACGTTAGGGCGATCGAGACGCGTGCGAAACGGTTTGCGATGTGACTTTCCAAGAACACAACCGTCACAAAACGTCGCGGCATCGGAGCACTTGATAGAAATATCGAAGCGAGATAAGACTTCACGCACATGGCGTTTGTCTTGATGTCCGAATCTTTCATGCCAAGCTTGTAGCACGTCAGCTGATGTAGCGAGATTAGCTTGTACAGGCACATCCGGAACACGAACGCGTATATTCATGACGTACACTGAATCGACGAGTTCGCCAGTCGCAACGAGTTCACCATCACGCCGAATTTCCACTCCGTCACGATTGAAAATGACGTCATTGCCATAAGCAGCAGCCTGTCGAACAGAGAAAAGTTGATGGCGAGCCTCAGGTACATACCAGACGTCAGTTAACTCAGCAGACGACCACCTGTCACCCATGCGAACGTCAACACTGATCTTGCCTGATCCGTAAGCTAAAATGAAATCTTTGCCGGCAGTCTGAATGCGTTGCGGAGTCGGGAACTTGTCGAAAGTAACAAAATGTTGTTTGTTCGCCGATATATGGTGCGTTGTGCCGGAGTCGGAGATCCAAGAATCGGCTGGAACGAAGTCTATGTTGACAGCCAGGCCAGTAGCGAAAAATGAACTTGGTGGATTGTTTTGTTTTGTATCCTGCTTGTTACTATTTGCATTTATTATTTTATTTTGTTCTTCTTTGTTTTGCTCTGCACTGGCACGCTTCCTGCAGTCTTTGATCACGTGACCTTTTTTCTTGCAATACAGGCACGAGCGTTTTTCTTTTGTGTTGGTGGAAGACGAATCCTGGTTAGATTTATTTTGTTTCTTCTTTGAGCCTTGATGTAACTTTGATTTTGCAAAGAAGGCGCCCGATGACTGCCATGACTCTTGTGACACAGATGAGCTCTCAATCGACCGCAGATTCTCAATCAAAAGCTTAGTTGTTTGCTCCGCCTCGGGAACGCGATACCAAGTCGAACGATAATATTGGTATTCCGGACCGAGCGTTTTAAAAATCCTGTGATGAAGCAGTGACAACGGAAGCGTGGCGTTTGGACTACCTTTTGCGAGCTCATTGAGAATATCATCGAACACGTTTGACAGTTGAGATACGTGTTTTGAAACAGAAGTTGTGTCATCTTTTGTGATAGCGAAGAAGCTGTCAAAAAGCGTGTAAAGACGTTGCAAAGAGGATTGTTCGAACACTGAAATCAGCGTATCCCATATGTTCTTTGCGTTTGTCTTCTTGCGAACGTAAATAGAGGCTTCTTCGTCCAGTGACGTACCTAGAATACGAGCCGCGCGCGCGTTATCTCGTTGCCAACGACGGTACGCGTCAGACGGTTCGGCGTCTGCCGCCGGTCCGTCGGGGCACGGGCGTGTACCATCGACGATGGTAAACAAACACTGTTCTTTTAAACAAAGTTCGATTTGCCACTTCCACGTTTCCCACTGCGACTCATTCGACAACTTTCGGATGTTGGCTATAATACGGCCACTATCATCACCTTGCCCAGCATCGGCCATTTTTGTTTGGCGTCGAGAATGTTCTCGTTCGAGATGCCGGTTTTCACACAAAAGAAATACCGAAAATATCGAAAACCGTCCGCGGATACGATTTCACTGCGTACCTGGGCCCATAACCTGTGATGGGGACGGGTTTATTGGTAGTTAATAACGAAATTGTGTGAGAACAAGGATAAATTTATTTAGTAATAATTCCACGTTGCGTCGCAGGTAAAAAGAAAAGAAGACACTGAACTCTAAAGATATAGAAGACCATACGACGAACTGACGCGACATCTGTTGTGTTATGATCGTATCAAATATGAAAAGGTAGTTTATACTTTAACAATCCTTCTTCAAAGGGGGACGGGGATGGATTTTTGTTTACGTAGTTAGAAAGGTCCCTCGAATATATGGAACTTTTTCATGAACAACTTTTTGATAGGACAAATATTTTTAGAGTTATCAGCTTGTAACACTTTACGTGGGCCACTCTGTAAAAAAGGACATCATTTATATCTGCATTATATGTATAAATTTCCATCTCTCTCGAATCCGATTAGAATGGATTTCTTACGAAAAGTAGGCATTTATCTTCTATAATTTTAGCCGAAATCAGTTCTTAACTAGGAGGCCCCTAGGTACGTACTTATTAAATAATCTAGTATTGATTTCGTAAATTCATGACATGCCGCAAATGTAGGAATGATGTTACTTCAAAACGTAAATGTTTTATTTTGGCTGCATTTCTCACTTATTTATCGTCCTTACTTTAATGTGCAATTCCTAATGGAAAGTTCATATTATAAAAGCAGACTCGGCTGATTGTTGATTTATTTTCAGGAATGATCATTATGGCATTCTTTTGGGGTTGCGTTACTGACATGTTTGGCCGTAAAAAGATAATGTTCTATGGTTACCTGCTTACTGGTCTATTAAGTGTGGCTATGTGTTTCTCACACAAATCTTGGCATTTAATAACGTTCAAATTTTTTGATGGTATGATGTAAGTTGAAATTGCCAGTTAGTATGATATTATAATACAATTTACATATTCTAATTATCATTGCGTTAATAGAAAAATGATGCAAGTAAAAATTAGCGTTTTGGAGATAATGAAAGGAAATTGATCCCTTAAAGACTAATATATTTTTGTGGGAAAACGACACATTTATAACTTATTTATAGGGATGTAAGATAATTTATATAATAAGATAAGATTTATAGGAAAATCGGATACTGGATAATTCGTCACTTATTGCTACTAGATAACTAGATTTTATCCGACATTTATACAAAGAGAAAAATTAAAAATCTAATTATTTTTTTACTGTAAGAAGAAGGATTTTTTTATATATGATAAGCCGTTACCATATATAAATATGCTATAAATAACACAGGTCTACAAATTAAAGGGTATTTAATATCACATGAAACTTTATATTGATTTCCGAGGGAATTTGGTGCGCTGAATCCAAATCTGGCATCAGAATGGCGCCATCACGTCAGGATTTTGAGATATTCTAACCTAAAAGTGCATAAATGGCTGTTTTAGGGCATTATTGGAGTTTCCTCCTGGTTGCAGAGAACTTTACCGACAAAAATTAAACAAAGTACCGTAAAGTACGAGTCTTGCCCTTTAAGTTCCATTTTGAAACGTCCAAATAGGATTTTTTTTCATCGAGATACAGCAGATTTAAGTTTTTACTGCATACAGAAAATCAAATAAAGTGATGATGTCGGTTCATTTGAAATACTTTAACCCTTTTGATTTTGAGCAATTCTGGAAAACAGTTTGTAGTTCAAAGGGTTCCGAGGGTCGCTGCTCACGAATCTGGACTCAGATTTTCAAAATTCAAGACTAAATTGTCTGGATTGACGTCCGCCATATTCAATCCGCCATCTTGAATTTTGGAAATTTGAGTCCAGATTCGTGAGCAGTGACCCTCGGGACTTTTTAAACTACAAACTTTTTTTCCAGAATTGTTCAAAACCAAAAGGATTAAGGTATTTTAAATGAACCGACATCATCGCTTTATTTGATTTTCTGTATGTAGTAAGAACTTAAATCTGCTATATCTTGGTGAAAAAAAATCCTATTTTTCCAAAATATATGGAAATTGAAGGACAAGACTCGTACTTTACGATACTTTGTTTAATTTTTGTCGGTAAAATTCTTTGCAACCAGGAGTGAACTCCAATAATGCCCTAAAACAGCCATTTTTGCATTTTTAGGTTAGAATATCTCAAAATCTTGACGTGATGGCGCCATTCTGAGGCCAGATTTGAATGCACCGAATTCCTTCGGATAAACTTTTTGCTCCTTTTGTGACAAAAACCTTGTAAACCTGTGTAATTAATGTTTATTAAACGGTTTTTCAATATTTTATTATTGATGCTTTATAAATTTAATTATTCGAAATAAATTTATTGAAGACCTATTCTGTAAATTCTATTAAGAATCAACAATATCTGTATTAAATTTATCTAAAGTTAAATATCTCACGTCAATAGTAAAACTAAATAGTGCTTTGAAAAAGTATTGAGCAAAGTATCATTTAAAAGATAAGGTTAAAGTTAAAAAATTAATTATCAACAAACTTTTTGCTATTATAACAAAAGCAACGATGCACAAGAAACTAAGGATGAAGTTACTACGTTTTCAACTATATAATGTTAAAGATGAGCTCTCTTCTTTAAAAGTGATCTTTATGATACGACTGTTGAAAATATTTGAAAATATTTCAACAAAATCGCAAATCAAAGTCAGATAACGATAAGCATAGAAGAGGGAAGAAGTCTTTTACAAGAAAAATATTTACAAGACACCTAGTGATAGAACAGACAAAAGCAATTATATTTACCGCAGAAATAGATGAATATCTTGCTCTATATCTAAAAATTTAAGAAATGCTCTACAGAAAAGTTGCTAATTTTGAAATCTGTCATATGCCTATAAATGTTGTGTAGCAATGTATTTTATATTAATTTTTTAAAAACTGAATACTTTTTGGATATTTTTATGTAACAGTTGATTAACAAATTATAGTATATCTGGTCCATATGCGGCACTTATGTCGTATCTAGCAGAAATACACAACGAAGCACATCGATCGAGGTCATACATGTGGCTTGGCGTGTTCTTCTCGCTGGGAAACATTTCTTTGCCATGTAAGTAGTCTTGACACACCTTATCTACATACTTCATCGACGGGAATTAAATTATAAAGCGTCAAATTTTAACGCCGATAATATGCAATGCAATATTGCAATATACGTGATGCTGATGTTATAAGAGCTGGAAACAGAAAGAGTTAAAATTGATTTAGAAATTTGTAATGAAAGTGTTGAGGGAACGTACAAAATATTTCATTTTAATGTCAAATACTCAATATACATTTTGTGACAAATAAACTTGAATAAAGTTAAATATGATTTTAATTTCTTTATTTACAGGTATAGCATGGCTTATAATACCTCAAAAGTGGTACATCACATTTTTAAGCGATACATTGGAAATAGCTTCCTGGAGAATATTTTTAGCCATTTGTTCGCTACCCGAATTTTTAGCATGCATAGCTCTTTTTGCTTTCCCAGAGAGTCCGCGTTTCCTTATCTTAAATGGTCGACATGACGAGGCATTGAATGCCTTCAAAAAAATCTACTCACTCAATACTGGCAAGGATCCCGATACATATCCGGTACGTGCATATAGAAAGGATGTTTTTGTTAAAATATCTAAAAAAAATTTAGATACTGATCTGAAAATAATTTTATTGGGTTATCAAACTAATTTTGTAGGGCATTTAAATTGGTTGCTGAAATATCAAAATTTTTTACATTATTATTGCTTAAATGCCCTGCAAAATTATTTTAATGATCCATCAAAATCATTTTCTAATTTGTATTCAGCTAAATTTTTGTACTTTCCATGTTAGTATAATAATACTATGTTCATATTCGAAAATATATACATATAATAACCAATATATTTATTAGAAATAATTTAAATTTCAATTGCGTAAAATTAACAAAAAAATGTGTGTTTAAATTGTACTGCTTATTGACACAAGTAATTTTACGTTAATTGAGTGGAACAAATAAAATGTGATTTAAAACTACGATGTTTTATCTATTCATTTTGGCAATATTATAAAATATACACAATAACTGCACACAGTGATTATGAGATTGTCGTCGTACTATATTTATTTAAATATATTATGTAATTGTAATAACTTTAATAATTTTAATAATCTAATTACGTACAATATATACATATAATTAGTAATAAGGTGGATGAATGTGATGAGTATAAAAAACAAAGGTATACGTGCAAAAGATAAAACTATTACTACAATACTTACTTGTACTAAAGAAAGACATGTTATTCAGTACATGAAATGGATAGGAAAGTGAAACACGATAAACAGAATTCAAAATAGACAACAAATTAAAATAAGATAATATACACTGTGAAAAAAATGTAATAAATTTTATTATAAATATTTCTTTGAATAGCGTTCGAGATATTTAGTGAATATAAACACATATTTATTAGATACTATTTAGGAACCGTTAGTTCCTGATTTAACTCATTTTTTTTCATTTATCTGTTTTAATATATTTATTTACTATAAGCAAATATTCCGCTAGGACTATTTAAAGAAATATTTATTAAAATTTAATAAATTTTTTTCTCAGTGTAGATATGTCATTAAACGTAAATAAGAATATATTGCACTCCCGCAAGAAAAATGATACAAAGTAAAATTTTTTAAAGTTCTTATTTTGTGCGAATTATGTCCTAAATACATCGGCCTTCATTCAAAGTGGAATATAGAATAGTGATATAAGTTGAATTAAAAAATAAAAAAGAATTTAAAGACAGAGAGAGAGAGAGAGAGAGAGAAGCAAGTAATTAATTTTAAAATACGTAATTTTCTTTTCTCTCTTCGAAACAATTTTACATTCTCTTGTGTCACTTTTCATACGAGGGTGCATACATAGAAAAACGTATATAATGAAACTGCAAGTGAGAAATGAGATTCGATAAATCGAGCGACTGTAAAATAAATTAAAGAAAGAATCAACATGATAAGAATGATATATACAGCTTTGACCAAAAATACTAAGCACCTTATTATTATGTAACGTTTTAACTCAAAAATTAATTAATGACATAATGACATTTATTGGTGTGTATTATCCTTTGTTTTAAGAAACAAAGGATAAACTTTAAATTTGTATAATGCTGATAACCAATTGAGAGCAATACAAGTGAAAGAATTTTAGATAAATGAAAAGAATATAGGTGTCTAATTTTTTTTGCTAAGGCTGAATATGGTACAATACACTGAAAGAAAAGATTGACTGCTCCAGCAAATTAGATGGTAAAATATGGCATAGCATTTTTAATTGGCTGCAGCAGCCAATTTTTCGTCGCAGCAACCAATTTTTTGCATTAGCCTATCTGCAATGTCAGTATAAGATTTCGATAGGCTAACACAACCAAAAATTAGCCGCTGCAACCAATTAAAAATGTTATGCCATATTCAGCCAATCTTTTCTTTCAGTGTATATATAATGTATTATTATCAATTGATATAGATAAAACGTCTAGAGGATGAATATTCCATTGAATCATGCGGAGAACGTATACAGGACAAGTTGAAGAATTGTTGCAAACTGATAAAACCACTCTTCTTGCGACCCAATGTCTTCAGATTGATACTCATTTCAATGATACAGCTTGGAGCAACAATAGGGTCAGTTTAATCCTTCGTCTATTTTAATTTTAATTCTATAAAAATGGATTCACTAAAATAAATGTGGAACTTGAAGAGTTCATTTTATGTCGATTGCAACTGTCCAGATCGAATTCGCTCCGGCTTTGGATGCCCCAGCTGTTCGTAATGATCGAAAATTACAAAAGTACTGTGATGAAGGACGATAACCGCATATCGGGTTTACAGCCTTCATTTTGTTACATGTTAGGTCAGGAAAAATCGTATCTTAATTCCATGCATTATGCCAACAATACGATAGGCACTACGGCTGTATGCGTTCCGGTAAATCGCTAATTTATAAATGTTGGCCGCGAAATAAGTCTCAAAGAAATAATGTACATAACAATTTTAGGCGGAGTTGAATTCCAGAGTCTTTATCAATTCCATTGTCATCGCCATGACAGGTGTTATCGGTTATACTGTAGCTGGTTCTCTGATAACGGTAGTTGGAAAGAGGAAGTTAATGGGTAAGACGATAAAGTAATTTGATGTTAAAGAAATAGAAATTTGCTTAAAATACGAAAGAAAATCAGAAATGTTGTTGTGTCAAATACTATATATTTATTTCTTATGTATAATAAACAATTTTCTCAATCAGCTTTGCAATACATTTTGTGTAACGGTCCACAAGTCTGCAAAAAGAATTTTTAACTGTCTTTTACGCCATATACATATATGTACCATTTCCTAAACTTTACAATAACTGAAATTTGTACAATAACTAGCATACCGCCAGCTATGCAGGGCTTTTTTTAGTAATCCAAACAAATGGAAATTGAAAGTAGCAAGATCAAAACTATGGATGTAGAAATTCAAAGAACCCTGTACAAAACTTATAGAAAATGGATTTCAATCAAATTTCTTTAAACTTTAATACTTATAGCTCAATTCAAGTTAATTAAAAATCCTTATGAATCACGGGCAAAAAATGCCTGTTTTTGTTCTAGGACCTTCGGAAAATTATCACATCTTTTACGGAAAAATAGTCAAAATAAATCTTTTTTATTGACATTGGTTATAAATACTATATAATACATCACGGATATACTCTATATACATATATGTCACGAAAAAATCTGTCGGACATGTCACGGAAAAAATCATTTCAATATTTTGAAAAATATTATTACGGTATAAAACAACCGGAAAAAGCCTTGTTTTATTTTCTAATTCCAAGAAGAATATTAGGATTTCCTTAAAGACAAGGAAACTCACGAAAGTCAAGCATCTCAAAGGAATGTCACGTCCACATCGTTCGTTCTGGGTAATTCTGACAATGAGAACGGGCGCAAAACTAAAGTCGTAAACATACCATTGATAAATGTACAAGTGTAATAAAAAAGATTTATTTCAATTTTCTGTATTTTTTAATACAAAATATAAAAACTTTTCGAAGGGCCTAGAGCAAAAACTGAGACATTTGGAAGTTTATGCCCGTAAAGAATTTTAATCAGCTTGACATGAGCTACAAAATATTAAAGTTTAAAGCAATTTGACCGAAACTCATTTTCTATAAGATTTGTGCAGGGTTCTTTCAATTGTCTTATGTGTCTATCTCTACCAATGTGTATTAATTTTAATCTCAATTTAATTTATTCTTTATCCTTTTCTAATCTTTAGGACTAGAAAAAGGTAAAGTTAATCTACATTGATACAAACGATCGCATTATATCCGTTTCCGGTAATGATAATTAACTCTAACCTCGGTTCAATTTACTCTTAATTTTTTTCTGGTTCTATAATATCTCTAATAGGATGCTTGATTGAAAGTCAAATTATTACATTGCTTGTCAATTTAATTTGTGATATTACTCTAGTAGTTCAATTATTACGTTTATAAGTCCGAAAAACCAATTCGGCGCGCAGTTCAAATGACTATTATACACTCATATGTATATAATATATAAGTATACAAATTTTATATACATACGTGTGTGTGTGTGTACATACATACGCGCGCGCACGCACACACACACACACATAAGTAGTATATATAGATATATATATTCACATGGAAATTATTAGATCCAACTTCAACCGTTATAAGCTTTAACTCTTACTTGTGTATAATTATATATGTTTATAAATGTTTGTACATGTTTATGGATACTTTTATATAGTATATATACTATTTGACATTGAACGGAA